AAGGAGGTCTTCTTCATAGAAGACTAGAAGGAGGTCTTCTTCATAGAAGACTAGAAGCTGGTCTTCTTCATAGAAGACCAGAATGTGATCTTCTTCATAGAAGACCAGAAGATGGTCTTCTTCTTTGAAGACCAGAAGGTGGTCTTCTTCATAGAAGACCACAAGGTGGTCTTCTTCATAGGAGACCAGAAGGTGGTCTTCTACCTAGAAGAACAGAAGCTGATCTTTTTCATAGAAGACCAGAAGGTGGTCTTCTTCATAGAAGATCAGCAGGTGGTCTTCTTCATAGAAGACAAGAAGGTGGTCTTCTAAATAGAAGACCAGAAGGTATTCTTTTTCATAGAAGACTAGAAGGTTGCCTTTTCAACAACTAGAAGGTTGCCTTTTGTCTACTACGTAGAAGACCACAAAGTGGTCTTCTTCATAGAAGATCAGGTTGATAGTCTTCTTCATAAATGCCATGGTTGTGGTCTTTTTTATAGAAGACAGAAGAAGACTCCCTTCTTCTTTCTTCATAGAAGACCAGAATATGCTAGTCTTCTTCATAGAGTACCAGAAGATTCTGATCTTCTTCATAAAAGACCAGATGATGCTTCTTCTTATTTATAGAAGACAGTGGGGGTCTTCTTCTTTCTTCATAGAAGACCGGAAGAAGCTGGTCTTCTTCATAGAAGACCAGACGATGCTGGTCATCTTCTTAGAATACCAGAAGGTGCTTGTCTTCTTCATGGAAGATCAGAAGGTGCTGGTCTTCTTCATTGAAGAGCAGAAGGTGGTGGGCTTCTTCATTGAAGAGCAGAAAGTACTAGTCTTCTCTATGGAAGACCAGAACGATGGTCTCCTCCATAGAAGACCAGGACGATGGTCTTCTCCATGGAAGACCAGAAGAGAAGATCAGAAAATGCTGGTCATCTTCATAGAATACCAGAAGATGCTGGTCATCTTCATAGAATACCAGGGAAGACCAGAAGGTGATGGTCTTCTTCATTGAAGGCCAGAAGGTGCTGGGATTCTGACTGAAGGCCAGAAGGTGCTGGGATTCTGCATTGAAGGCCAGAAGGTGCTGGGCTTCTTCATTGAAGAGCAGTCTTCTTTATGGAAGACCAGGACGATGGTTTTCTCCATAGAAGACCAGGACGATGGTCTTCTCCATGGAAGACCAGGGCTATGATCTTTTCCATGGAAGACCAGGACGATGATCTTCTCCATGGTATTCTCCATAGGAATCCAGGGCTTCTTCATTGAAGAGCAGTCTTCTTTATGGAAGACCAGGACGATGGTTTTCTCCATAGAAGGCCAGGACGATGGTCTTCTCCATGGAAGACCAGGGCTATGATCTTTTCCATGGAAGACCAGGACGATGATCTTCTCCATGGTATTCTCCATAGGAATCCAGGACAATGGTCTTTCCCATTGAAGACCAGGACGATGGTCTTCTCCATGGTACACAATGGTGAAGATTTTCTCCATGACAGACCGGGACGATGATTTTCACCATGGAAGATCAATACGATGGTATTTCCCATAGAAGTCCAGGACGATGGTCTTCTCCATAGAAGACCAGGACGATGGTCTTTCCCATAGAAGACCAGGACGATGGTCTTTCCCATAGAAGACCAGGACGATGGTCTTCTCCATAGAAGACCGGCAGGATTGTCTTCTCTATAGGAGACCAGGACGATGGCCTTCATGGAATTCGTTCATGCATTCTCTGCCCTGAAGTTCCTTGTAAAGGTGTTAAAATTACGAAGAAGAACTTGTTTAAACCCTAAATGCAAATTACATTGCCTATGATTAATGTTCCTCCCCTTCCTTAATTCATCAAACGCATAAAGCTGTATGGTCATTAATTAGCAAGTTAATTACAATCATCGGCGCTCACCTCTACTCGTGAGCTATTACGTTTTTTTCGCGGACTTCATTCCTGCCCGAAATTTCGCCTGTAATCAAGAAAAGTGTGAAGGGGGGTAGAAGACAAAAGAAGCTCATCAATAAAATCGATGATGCATTCATTCATTACAAGAGAGTGTATGTGATGCCAAAAAGGAAATTCTCAGTATATGTGCGTGTGTGTGTGAGAATTTTCTACACACTCTTCCGTGCCATCATCACCCACATCATTTGCATGGCATATAAGAAGAGCAGAGCCATAAAGACCGCATAACTCAATTATCTATTTTCGAGGTTATTTACAAGCGTCGTATCAATGCGTTACGATGAGATAGATACACACGCAGATACTGCATCGCACACACACACACATATTTATGGAATCTTTTATCCAGCAATGTTGAATACACTACATATCTCTGTGGATAGAATGCAAAACCAAAGCCATTGTAATTTTACATTGTAAACCCAAGCGTTCGCCTCTTCCACTGGGTAAAAGAAAAAAAAAAAATTGATGATGAACAGACAAAAAGATGGATAGACAGGCAAACCGACATATACTGTCATCCAATATAACACTAAACAGCCAAACGAGCCCTTCCAAATGTTTAAAATTCCAAGAAGAAAGCGCCAACACCATACTAACTGGAATACTTAATGCAACAAAGTAAAGGCAAGAAGCCAAAACGATAAAAGTACTAAAGACCGGGGCAGTAGAGAAATGAATAAAAAGATGAGCAGAAAAAAAAAATACTTTTCTCTGTTACGTTGAGAATAAAAATTCTGATGTAAACTGACTCTCCATGGTTATCGATGGATGGATGGATGTAAGTGATTATCGGGTTAGGCACTAGACGCCGACGTATAAAAAAGATAACACGAATGCCACAACAACAACAAAGTCGATGCATTGTCATATGTAGTGTTATACGAGGGAAGGTATATGTACATAAGTTACCGTACAGATAGAGTTGTTAATTTAATAATGTACAGGGTGAGATAAAAAAGCTGCAAAAAAATCAAACACCATAATTTTTACATTTTTATTTTAAATTTTATTGAATGAGAGCAAAAAATGTCGGAAATAGCATCAAATTTTAGAAGATGTTTAGTTTTGTTCGAATTTGTCACCTTTGGCAAGAATTATGGACTTCATGTCTTCTTATAGTAGGCCAGAAGTTCTTCTCATCGAAGGCCAGAAGGTCTTCTCATCGAAGGCCAGAAGTTCTTTTCATAGAAGGCCAGAAGGTCTTCTTATAGAAGGCCAGCAGGTCTTCTCACAGAAGGTCGCCCTCCCATATATTCTTTCCATCCGATTTGATATTTATTACAATGATATTCATTAAACAAGTTGTTCTCATAGAAGGCCAGAAGGTCTTCTCAAAGAAGGCCAGAAGGTCTTCTCACGGAAGGCCAGAAGGTCGGCCCTTCAATGCTGGAATATACACTACATTACCATGATATTCATTCAACAAGTTCTCCTCATACTCATAGAAGGCCAGCAGGCCTTCTCATCGAAGGTCAGAAGGTCTTCTCATAGAGGGCCAGAAGGTCTTTTCGTCGAAGGCCAGAAGGTCTTCTCATAGAAAGCCAGAAAGTCTTCTCAGAGAAGGCCAGAAGGTCTTCTCATAGAAGGCCAGAAGGTCTTCTCATAGAAGATCGGAAGGTCTTCTCATAGAAGATCGGAAGGTCTTCTCATAGAAGATCGGAAGGTCTTCTCATAGAAGATCGGAAGGTCTTCTCATAGAAGATCGGAAGGTCTTCTCATCGAAGGCCAGAAGGTCTTCTCATCGAAGGCCGGAAGGTCTTCTCCTCGAAGGCCAGAAGGTCTTCTCATAGAAGGCCAGAAGGTCTGCTCATAGAAGGCCAGAAGGTCTGCTCATAGAAGGCCAGAAGGACTTCTCATAGAAGGTCAGAAGGTCTTCTCATAGAAGATCGGAAGATCTTCTCATAGAAGATCGGAAGATCTTCTCATAGAAGATCGGAAGATCTTCTCATAGAAGATCGGAAGATCTTCTCATAGAAGATCGGAAGATCTTCTCATAGAAGATCGGAAGATCTTCTCATAGAAGATCGGAAGATCTTCTCATAGAAGATCGGATGATCTTCTCATAGAAGATCGGAAAATCTTCTCATAGAAGATCGGAAGATCTTCTCATAGAAGATCGGAAGATCTTCTCATAGAAGATCGGAAGGTCTTCTCATAGAAGATCGGAAGGTCTTCTCATAGATGATCGGAAGGTCTTCTCATAGAAGATCGGAAGGTCTTCTCATAGAAGGATAGAAGGTCATCTCATAGAAGGCCATAAGATCTTCTCATAGAAGGCTAGAAAATCTTCTCATAGAAGACTAGAAAGCCTTCTCATAGAAGGCCAGATAGTCTTCAAGTTTTTTCAATAGCTTTGATCGACTTTTTTCCAATTTCTTTAACCTCCCCTCATAAATATAATTGGTGTGCCAGCGACAGATATAAAACACATGGACAGATTGAGGCCCATAAGACAAAACTGCATCCACATTGTCTATCCGCCTGTCTGTCCGTCTTTCGGTTCGTTCGTCCATCTATGTGTGTCTGTATTGGTGTGGGTGCGTTAACTATGTGTGATAGTGTTTGTTTATTTGTATACAATCGGAGATTGTTTAGTTTAAGTGATGGCGATGGTGATGACGACGACAGTATGTGTGTGTGTTAGTGACAGCAAAGTCTCAAGTAAACATTTATGCATGCGTGTGTGTGTGTGCGTGTGCAACTGCAACTCATTGTTGATATTTATGCCTCGATGTGTGTTTGGGCTTTTTTCTTTTTTGCTGGCCAACTGAGTGCAGTATTAGATGCAGGGTAATTTCGACTCGGGCCAACAAGAGTCCATCACCATCCTCATCATCTGCATATGAATAATATTACGGCCAGCAGTGGTTTGCTCAGCTGTTTAAAGTTATTTGCCTGCATCCATTCAGTGGGACAAGTTGTTTATAAAGCGTTCGTTTTATCGAAAAAAGAGAGAGAACAAAAAAGAATCGAACTCTAAGTGAGTTGCTGGAACGTGTTGTTTTTGTTGTTTTACGCCAGAAAATTTTAAACGGATTTTTTCTATTTTTTTTTTTGTCTCGTTTTTGATAAAGTTCTTTTGTTTTTGTTCTATTGCTGGCTTGTGTGATACTGTTGTTGCTGTTGTCGTCGTAGTTGGTTTTGTCATCTGTGGTTGCCGCCACAGTTTTCTCATTATCATGTGAGTGGTGTAGTAGTATTTTCCAGAGTACCGATTAACACGATTATATCGATGAAGGGTGTGACACAGTGCTGCTGCTGCCTGCGTTAGTGTTGTTGTTGCTGTTGCTATTAGTGTTCGTTGCATTAAAACGCGCCGTTACGGAAGTGCAAAATTGTTCCAAGAGACAAACAAATTCAATGAATGTAACGCCAACGCCAATTTTGGATTTTCTGTTCTGAATGGAAAATTCAAATGAATAGAGTTTTCCAAGCGGCTTATGTGACAAGTAAAGGAAAAAAATAAAAATAATGAATAAATAAAACACCAAAAACACAACGAGCAAGTGGAAATTTTTTCATTAAATTTCAAATAGCAAAAAAAAAATAAAATATATAAATAAAAGGATTCGATATATAATCGTGAATTAAAAACAGAAAACAAAATATCGATTTATAGAAAAATTCCATGGCTTGAGAAAATATTAAATTGCAATTTGTGTATAAAAATAAAAAAAAAATATTTTTAAATATCTTGAAAAGTTTAGAGTGATAAAGTGATTCTAAAAAACCAATTTTTTTTTGCAATGAAATGTACAAATATTGAATTTTATATTATAAAAATAAATAAAAAATCGAGAAAAAGTGTTCAAGGAATGTTACAATGATTTAAACGTAAAAAACACAAAAAGAATAGTTTTTGTGTGATACAGAAAAAATGTATTATTTTTTTAAATTAAAAACAAAACGAATTTTAACCTTTCATATAATAAAACTCAGTGGCTTGAGAAAATATTATTGTGGATAAAAATGAGGAAAAATATCTTTAAAACTCCTTAAAAATAAAGGATTGATAAAGTCATCTTACAATGGTTTTAATTTCGTGATTCTGAAAAAATCGATTTTTTTTAAATTGAAAAAACAAATTTATTATGCATTTTCCAATAAAAAAAAAAATAAAATTAAATTAAATCAATTAAAAAATTTTTCTATGGAAACTTATATCGATTTAAGCCCTAAAATAATAAACAAAGAGTATGAAAAAGTCAAAAGTCGGGCGGGGCCGGTTATATGATATCCTACACCACCATGCGTATTTAGTAGAGCTTAAGTAACAACAAAGTTTATATTGGTATTTTATGTCAAGTAGATCATACCAACTCTGAACCAAATAACGTTGCTTTATAGTGCATAACTTCGATAAGGATTATTTTAAAAATATTTATTGGAGCAACATATATCCCGGATGAAGTTTCAGCAAATGGTAAAATTCGGTTGAATATGAAAAAAATCTATTCAATTTGGGCATATATTACATATATGATGACCAATAACCTTAAAATCGGATGAAGATGTATATCGAAGCCACATAAGAATCTGAACCGATCTGGATAAAATTTGGCAGAAGTATTTCCGAGCAGTATCTAATGCCCGGTATCAAAAATCATTATTGTGTAGTGCATATTACTCATGTAAGGGACTTCGACACCAAATCGGATATATATGGAAGCCATAGTTATATCTGAACCGATTTTCACCAAATTTGAAATAATTGTTTGTAGACTGAATTCCGTCAGAAATGCCAAGTAGATGCACAAAAAACCTGAAATCTTAACCGATCTTGACAAAATTTAAAACACTTATTTCTGAGCTGTATCCGATAAGTGGTACCAAATATCATTTTTGTGGAGTGCATTTTTTACAATCCCAAATCGGATAAAACATATAAACATAGGAGCTATAGCTATATCTGAACCGATTTTCACCAAATTTGATATACTTGCTTCTAGACTGAATTCAGTCAAAAGTACCAAAATTCCGTCCATTTGGACTGATATTTGGCATTTGGTGCACAATAAACCTGATATCGCATAAAGATATATGTGGGAGCTATATTCAAATCTGATCCGATGTCGATAAAATTTAACAGAAGTATTTTTGAGCTCCATAAGTTATTTGATATCAACGATTATTGCTGTGGAGGCTATGTTACGCATGTGAGAGACTTAAAACCCCAAATCAGATGAAACATATACATGGGACCAATAGCTATAACCGAACCGATTTTCTCCAAATCTGAAGTACTTGTTTCTAGGATTAATTCCATCGGAATTGCCAAAATTTAGTCCATTTCGACCATATTAGCCATTTGGTGCACAAAAAATCTGAAATCAGATAAAGATATATGGGAGTTATATCCTAATCTGATCCGATTTCGATAAAATTTGACAGAGGTATATTTGAGCTCCATAAATTATCTGGTACCAAATATCATTCTTGTAGAGTGCATATTACGCCGATTTTCACCAAATTTTAAGAACTTCTATCTAGAATGAGTTCAGTCGGAGTTGCCAAAATGCAGTCGATTTGGACTGATATTGGTAATTAGGTACACAATAAACCTAATATCGGTTACAGATTTATGTATGGGAACTATAGCTATATCCGATCCGATCTCGATAAAATTTAACAGAGGTATTTTTGAGCTCGATAAGTTATCTGGTACCAAATATCAATTTCGTGAAGTGTATATTACGCATGTGAGGGACTTAAAACCCCAAATCGGATGAAACATATATAGGGGAGCTATAGCTATATCTGAACCGATTTTCTCTAAATTTAATGTACTTGCTTCCACATTGAATTTGGTCGGATGTGCCAATATTTAAGTAATTTGGACTGATATTGGCCATTTGGTGCACAATTAACACGAAATCGGTTGAAGACATATATGGTAGCTATATCTAAATTTTGAACCGGTTTTCACCAATTTCATTAGGGTTCGTTCTTGGGCCAGACAAATATTGTTTGGAAAATTTCATCTCAATCGGATAATAAACGCGACCTGCATTTTGTTCACAAGAATAGATGGAATACATAAACAATTATAATTAACATAGATGAGGAGTTTGTGAAAGAATGGACCAGTTTTTAAAATTTATTCTATTTGATAAAAAGGAATTTCCTCTTTTACAATAAAAATACCCATACAAATTCCTTAAGAATTTTTAAACGATTTAATTGCCAAAAACAAAAAAAAAAAACATATTTTATATAAACAACAATAAAGAAAAATGTTTATCACTTCCGGTGTAATTAATATGAAATAAATAAATTTCTTTCAAGTGATTTTATAAATATTTGTTGAAGCTCTTGAACAATAATCAAGTTTGTAATTAATATGTTCCTTTTAACAAAATGGTTTAAAATTTTGAATTTAAAAAAATATAGTAATAATAATAATAATAATAATAATAATAATAATAATAATAATAATAATAATAATAATAATAATAATAATAATAATAATAATAATAATAATAATAATAATAATAATAATAGTAATAATAATAATAATATAATAATAACAATAATAAATGTAATAATAATAATAATAATAATAATAATAATAATAATAATAATAATAATAATAATAATAATAATAATAATAATAATAATAATAATAATAATAATAATAATAATAATAATAATAATAATAATAATAATAATAATAATAATAATAATAATAATAATAATAATAATAATAGCAATTGTAATAATAATAGTAAAAATAAAATAAAAAATATTTTTTATTTAATTTAAATTCAAATAGTTATAAAATTAAAATTTAAAATAGTTTACTTTTTTGGAATATAACAATTAAATTAAACCAAATTAAAACCAAAATAATGTGACATCCACCATCAACCCAAACACTTTTACATGTCATAAAAAGAAATCCACTTCATACCACACTTTTTTTTCGTTTTATCTACTTCTGTGGTCAGTGAACGAGAGAACGCACCCATCATCATCATCATCAACATTCACAACCTCATCATGAAACGAAAGTGTTGAAAGTGCAAATAAAACAACAACAACGAAAAAAGCCCACATAAACAAGAAAATAATATTAAAAGCAAAAGTATTTAAAACATATACAAGAAAAATAACAAAAAAAAAAAAAACGAAAAGAACAACGTCAACAGAATACCTGGCCGGCCAGACAAAGCCGTCTAAATGAGCGGTAACGCAAGTGTGTTATTGTTTTAGGTGACTCTATTGGCGATGACATGTCTGTTGAAAATTATAGCAAAACAAGTTGATGTTGACGTCGACATGAAATTTACAAAGCTTAAGTGATTAATTGGAAATTCATTGAAAGAGAGAGAGAAAATAGAATTGGTATTTGTGTAGGCCATAGTGCGCATGCCTAGAAACATAACAATAATCTGGAAAATAATAGAATGAATGCCTGAAACTTTACATCCTACAAAGCTCAAAAATAAATCAAAGGATAAATTTTCATATAAACCATCTAAGGAGATAACGATTTTAAAGGAGTATAAATCTGTAAATGACATCCAACACCTTAAGTTGTAGCAAACAACAAACATAACAACATCGATATCAAAATTCCCAATTTCGATTGTAGATCTTCTTTGGAGTATCCTAAATTTCAAGATATCAATAGAATTAAGATTAGAATTATGAAAAAAATGTGGATCAAATCAAAATCTCTTTAAAAGTCTTAAAATATAGGCCGAAGCTGTCAGAGTTGCTATATCCTATTTGTACAGATTTCGTGTGTAGAGGTACTCATGATGATATTTGATTTGTAACATTTCCTCTTTAGACACTATTCCCAAATATGAAGAGCTTTGTCGTTTTTAACACAGTTTCAAAACAATTTAAATTATGGCTCATAATAATGGAGTTTTTGGACGTTTTAGAAGAAAATGAACTAAAAAGCCTTTTGATGACTGGGTTGAGCGTTATTTTTACGAAAGCATTCCCTCAATGTTTGACAGTAATTTTACCAAAGGTACGGTATCCCTGAAATGCACGCCTTCCAAGGATTCTAAGCTCAAAAATTTAACAAATTGTAAAAATTAGGGGAGCATTTGTGGTTACCTATCCTGGCTCACTCCTGATGTAAACTTTCAAAATATTGATCCACGAGTCTCGGATTTTTAATTGAACTTTCACAATCTTTACGGGCGGGGAAGACTATAAAATACC